AAATATTTTCAAAAATATGACAGCAAAAAATTATTAAGTATTTAAAAATATTCTAAATTTTGAGAAAAACCCAAATTTCAAGTCATATGTCATTATAGAATAATAGCAATGATATCATATATTATGGTTTTATGATCAAGATAAAGCTGTACAAAGAAGAAAAAAATTGAAGAACAAATTTGAAGGATGTCTTTTAATAGTTTAAAAAATAAATAGTAAAAAATTAAATTGCTAAGAAATTCATTATATCAGACTTTTCAAAGTAAAAAAGTCAGAAGAAGAATTTAAGATTATTTTATAGAAATACAAATATGCATATATAAAAAGAGAAAAGAAATACAAATTTCTAATAAGTAAATAAAACTTTTAATAAATAAAATTTATTGTAGAAAGGTAAGGACATAAATAATCATGAATACTGTCTTTATAACAAATATATCAAAAAGAGCCATAAAATATATTCATGTGTATAAATACTAAGATGTTAAATTTAGGATATTCCTTATAAGAATGTTAATAAAATTGAAAAATAGTGATTATTTTAGTTGATGAACAGTATGCACATAATTCTCAAATCATTATATTTAGTAAATAGAAATATAACTATTAAATGAGAAAATGCATTGTCATTTAACATTGCTTTGATAATTCTAGAAGAACTGAAATTGGAAGTATTACTGTAGAGAAAAAGGAGACAAATATTTCATTAATTACTGACAAGGGCATTGTATTCTAGATAGAATATAAGGAATGACTTTTAAATTTATTTTTAAAAATAAATTATTTACTTTAGTAAGATATACATGTTTTATGGAAGAGAAAAATATAGCATTGTCAAAATGTTAGTTCATTCCAAATTGATCCATAAATGTAACATAAAGTCAATTAGAATTCTATTGTAGAATTACAGACACAATATTTTAAATTTCTTCCACTACACACAGAAACTATGAGTAAAGGACTTTTATTTTCTTCACTTCTACATAAATTGTACCTAAAATAAATAACCATGATAAAAAATACACATCTTTGTGGATGCAAAACAAAACAGAAAGCTAGAAGAAGGATCTAAAACCACTAGCGGTTGAGTACTAGGTTTGAATTTCAATGGGGACCAAAAGTCCTTCATAATTGACATGCATTGTAAGGGGACAAAAATCAGGTTCATTATGTGATTACCTGAGTCTAGGGTTAGGGCAGAGCCCAACATCTTATTGAAAATGGCTGAGCAAAGGTGTCAGGGATCAGTAGGAAGTTGCTCACCTTCCAGGCTGGATTGGCAGGGCAGAATCAGAACAAGCTACCAGTGAATGGGAACGGGCTCTTTTTCGTATGTAACCATGAGATGAAGACCTAAGCTGTCAATAGAAGGCCTGTTTCTATCCTAAAGGTCCATGGAATAAATGCCAGACTGGAGGCGGTATCCAAAAGGGTAGAAAAGGGGCAAAAGCAAAACCCCGTAAACTCACTAGCAATGTTAGCTAGAAAACTCCTAAGCCAGAAAAAAAATCTAACCAGAAACAAAAAGCTTAAAGGAAAAGAAAAGAAATAAGAGATGAATTACCTCCTGATGAAGCAAAATTTATTGGAATGAATGACTAAAAGCAGATATTCAAGGATTTTATGAGGCAAATTTCAAAACATAATTAAATGATGTTCTTAAGATGGTTCAAATATTTATACAAATCACCATCAAAGATAAGATGGACAAAATATCATAATGAAGTTGTATCTCCTCAAATTATAGCATAAACTTGATGCAATTGTATCCAAAATATTGATTAGCAATCAAATATTGTGACTTTTTATGCAGACTATTATATTCTTAAAATAGTATGCAATAAAAAAGTACCCCAAATATTCCAAGCAATTCTAAAAATGAACTAGGAAAAGGACCAAGTAATTCAATGTACTAGAGGAACTCAGAATACATCATCCCAAAATATGCTGAATTGGTATACTGGTAATTTCAAACTGAAATCACCTGAGGAATTGTAACTGCAGAAAGGGCCCTGTGGCCTATCTTTTCCTACATGCAACAAGCTATAAAGATGTATTTCCTGCACCAGGGCAAGAAAGTAGCTTGTATAATCAAAGACTGGACATTGGGATTGTAAGGAGCCTGAATAAATAAACTTATGGCTGCAACTCTAATTTTCCACTAGGTTTTACAATCCCAAGAGCCTCTTAGTGAATCCCTAGAATTTAACTACCCTTGGCCAGAGATCCTTTTGTACTGTCATTCATTCACAAATTTATCATTCTTCATCTAAAATGTACAAAGGCATTTTCTTGGCCATTTCTTTAGATTTCTCACTTTTCTGAAGATCCCTATGAACACACAAAATTAATAAAACTTGTCTTCTTTTCTCTTGTTGATCTTCCTTGTATTGATATGGTTCCTGTACTCAAAGAACTCATGTAAGAACTAAGAAAGAGAAGAGCAGAGATCTGTTCCACCCCTACAGTAGAATGCTTCATAAAACGAAAGAACTTGAAGCCAAATATTAAATATCAGATTTTGGTACACAATAGAACTGCTTCCAATTGGTGGACAAGGATATGTTTTTGAGAAAACATTTTAGATACCAATTATATAGGGAAAAATCAAATTATATTTCTAATATATTAGAAATATATATTTCAACTATACTATAAACACATGAGTATAAGAAAAAAAATCTTTGGAAAATAAAATATGGAGAAAAGTCTTATGACCTCAAAAAAGGAAGAATTTCTTAATATTCAAAGAGTAATAAATAACACAGAAAAGAAAACAAATGGACTACACTGAGACAGAGAATTTATATATGAACCTTTTAAGCAAAATTAAAACACAAGATACCACTATAAAGGACTATTTAAAACACGCAAAACATGTCAGGCATGGTAAGGTACACCTATAATTCCAGCAGCTTGGGAGGCTGAGGCAGGAGGAATTTGAATTCAAAGCCAGCCTCAGCAACTTAGTGAGGCCCTAAGCAACTTAGTGAAACCCTGTCTCAAAATTAAAAAAAAAAAAAAAAAAAACGTAAAATGTTTTGGGGATGTGCTCAGTGGTTAAGTGACCCTGAGTTCAATTCCTGGTAATAAAAGAAAAGAAAGAAAGAAAAAAGAAAAAATCAGGGAAATCATACAAAAGATTAGATTTCAGCAGAGTATGTAACAAATTCCTATATTTATAAGTAATAAAAAAGTTACAATACACGCAAAAGGTTGAAGGATATAATTGCAAATGACAGAAAGGAAAGGTATGTAACAAATATATATGGGAAAGGTACTCAAGTTCATACAGAATCAATGAATTGCAAATAAAAGGGAGATTGCATTCCATCAATTTTAAAAACTTAAACTTTTAATCATAGTTATAGAAGGGGATTGTAAAATGTATAAGTGAAATGAAACAATCTTTTAAATCTTATCTGAATTGGAAACATATGTCTTTCAACATAAACAACCACACTTATACACACACAAACAGACACAGAGAAAACATATAAAATTAGTTGTATGGGTCTTTAAATTAAACTGACAGGAGATATGCAAATATCAATAATGGATTTTAGGGAAAAATTTTCATTCTCCTGACACAACCCAGTCAGACAATAAATATTTATTGATTTGAAGAAGTACCTAATTGATGGGTGATTACATTTGTGAACCTGTTTTTATTCAATTACTATATCTGAAGCCATAAAAAATTAAAAATCTAAAGCACATTTTCTCCAAATCTATGTAAAAATGATTCTCTGATCCCCAGTACACAGATTATGAAATCAAATAACTTCATGATAACTTGGTGGATAGTCATATAATGACATTCAGAGAATGCACAGAAAACAAGCCTTTTGTTTTGTAATTTCATAGAACTTGAAATGTATCATTAACTTACAGTGAGTTTGCTATAGTAGGAAAATAAAAAGATCTATGCCCGGGGCCTTGCAGCACAGTATTGAAAACAGACTAGGATATGGGGACATGCACAGGGGTGCACATGGGTGGCTTGTGGAAAAGGAGCAACTAGAAAACAGCTGTGAAGCTAAAAGTATTAAGAGTTTAGTCTGATATTTAGCCAAGTTTCCTATTAAGACAATTTTAGAACAGGAATCAAGTAGCAAATCCAGCCTCAGAAAAGTGGGGAGCAGGGAATCTTGCTTTGTAGAAGAAAGAAAACCACAAATGTTAGTCCTGATTATAGCTCAGGAAAGAGGAGGACATGCTGCTATCACATACAGGCAGAAAGAGGAGCAAAGTCCCCAGGTCTCAGAGGAAAAGCTCCTAATTGAGCACACAGTTCAGAAGAAATTACAGAATCAGATGCTGCAAGAAAAGAAAAGGAAAAAAAAAAATGGGAATAGCATGCAGAAGTAACACTGTGTGTGACTCTGTGTGTGTGTGTGTGTGTGTGTTGCCTGAGCTCATACAGCTAGTTGGACTGGCATAGCTTCAAGGCATGCATGGTGCCCAGTGACCTCACATTTGTATAGAGAAGGTAAATTCAAGTCTTCCCCACTTCCCCAGATGACCCTGTTTGAGTTTTCAATGTGTGCACTTCTCCCAGTTCAAAGTTGTCAGAATTCCCTGAAGGACAGGTCTAGATAGCAAAAAGAGGGAAACCATTTGGCACCTTGTGATCACTCTGTCTAGTGGGGACATTGCAAGATTAATCCATAGGATAAGCAAGAAGAATCAACCCTTGGCTATTTTCTGCTCACCTGAGTTACATACAGACATCTCAACTGCAATCTGGTGCCTCTCAGAGATGTCTGCCCTCAGCTGCTTTGTGACAATACCTCCCTAACCCTTTGCTCTGGCTATCAGATTTCAGTTCCATTATGGACACCCTTACCCTTTTGGAGAAGTGGTGATTTGAAGATAAATTTGGAGGAAAATTGTGCTTTCAAACTTTATTCCACAGGGCAGAAAGAATGTGGGGTTTCTCAGGGCTTGATTATTACCTGCTTAGGCAGAACAGCAAAATGATTGAATCTTAATCTTACCCCATGGGAGCCCTAATGACAGCATGTCCTGAACTCGGAGGAACTTCACCATTCAAAATTTTGAATGTAGTGCTCTTCCCAGCTCCATTCACTCCTAAGAGTCCAAAGCACTAAGGAAAAAATGAAGTTAAATAAAACAGATTAAAAATAATGATAATGACATTATGCATTTTCTTTGAGTCCACTTTGAAATGACATTATTAATGTGTGATATTTGTAATTTTAAAGAATCACACATTGTAAAGCACTTTATGGATTACACAATACTTTCAAAATCATCACAGCACTTGATTAGTATAAAAACTATAGCATTCACTTATAGACAAATAAATTCATATATGGAAAACTTAAGAGAATGAGAAGTAAATGCTAACTATCCCAAATTATGCAGAGATGATAGTCTTTGAAAGTCATATCTTTGTAGAAATAATTATGCTCTTGATATTCATTTCTGTATATTCTAAAATGATTTTTTTTAATTTCATTTTTCACTCTCCATATGTATATTGCTTGTAGCTATATACCTTCCTTGAAGAGTACTGAAGAGGTTACAAATTCGTTCCTAGCTCAATGCAAATACTGACACTCAGAAGATGACCCTTAGTTTTATGCTCTTAACACTCAATCAACTTATTTCTTGGTCCAATCCTATCATATATTCCATGTAAAAATTGGCCTTCTGGTTCTTTTTTCTAGATGTAGTCTTGTGCCTCCAGGTATACTCTGTTTGAGAATTCAACATGGTGCCTGAGAATCTGATTCTTGTCCATCTCCTTCCCAGCCAGTTTTTGAATGAATCGGTGATTCTATCTATTTTCATATAATGGCTTCCTGGCTTCTGGGATCTTAGAAAGTGACTGCTTCTGGATTTCTTTGAGCATGCCACACCCAGCTATCACAGAATTCTACATCAGGCCTCTGAATGCCACTGTCTGAGTTGCCACCTGCTTTAATTACCATATTTCTCCCAATTACCCATATCTGAAATATGGTTTTATCTCAGTCCAGGCCTGTCCCATGTCATTGATGTCGGTCAGGCCATAGCTGGGTGCTCCAAGGCACACCACCACCAGGCCAACCAGATGGTATCTCTGTTTAAAGGCTTAGCCATAAAGCTACCTTTGAAATAAAGCTCTCACCATGCAACTGTCCTTCTCCTCTCCTTGCACATTCTTTAAGATATAAAGCACTATAGACACTACCACTCATATATCTTCTAATCCTATCCTGCCTTGGGACAAAGCTTATGCTGTTGTGTAACACTGTGTGTGTTTATGATCTTTGGTTTTCTACCCAGTTAGTTATTTCTAAAGGCACAGGAGCATATCTCAGTCATTTCTATTTTCTGAAGGCTTTTACAAAGTACTTCTCATCTGGGTGACTAAACTGTAATGCTCATAAAAGCTTAGCATATAAAACTTATAATAATTCTCATCTTGAATGTCTCCAAAAGCCTACATGTTGAAGGTTTGGTCTCTAGTCCTTGGTGCTATTTGGAAGAGGTGCAGTCTGTTAGGAAGTGGGGCCTAGTGGATAGTGTCAGGTCATTGTATGTGTGCCCTTGAAGGGGATGTTTGGACCCTGTTCCCTTCTATTCCTCCTTCTTTTGCACTTGGCCATGAGTTGAATGATCTTTATTCTCTATGAGCTCCTGCCATGATGTAATTAAGCCAACTCAGGCCCAAAGTTAGGGGTCAATGAGTCATAGACTGAAACCTACAGAACTGTGAGCCCAAATAAACATCTCCTCTCTTATAAGTTAATTATCTCCCCTGTTTTATTGCAGTAACAAAAAGTTGACTAACAAAAAGTCAAATTTATATGGCATCTCATATCAGATACATAAATCATAATTCTTATGAAGATTTTCAAGTTTTTCACTTACTCCTTAGCTTAAACCTACCATAGAGAGGTAGCAGCAAATTAATATTGATTTTAATTAATTTCAAAACAAGGGTGAAAAATGTTCAAATAAAATAGGTAAGACTGCAGAGCCAGTCTTAAAGTAGTAGAAAGAATAGCTATAAATAAACACATCTTTACCATTTTTCCTTTTCTACCAGAAATCATAGTCTTTGGTATAAGGATACTCCCAGAATGCTTTAGGCTGTGCTCTTTGCCTTTTTCCCCCTCAGAATACTCATATCTGAAATGTCTATTCTCCTCTCACAGGCAGGGAATGGGTGCCAATCAGATAACAATATAGCCTACTTTGAAATTCTCAGGAGCTTGGAACAATATGCATGCAAGGTGCTCTTTTATTTTTAACAGTTAATTAAAGATAATCATTTCCAGAATTGATTTCCCTTTATGCATTAAGTACAAATCAGGTACAATTTATATGGCTTCTGTCAGTTCTGATTAAAGATTTCTCCTAGAATTAATGCCATAGCCATGAAAAAATTTTGCAGCTATTGCAATGGTGTATGAAAAATATTCTTTGGTTTTCCAGAGTAGCATTTTATTAGTTGGGCTTAACTGTACACTTAAAAAGTATTGAAGTCAAAGTGAGAGTAAAAAGCAGTTTCCTTTATTAACTATAATATACTTTCACTTAATAAAATGATATCCCAGAGCTGGGGGTGGAGCTCAGTGGTACAGGGCTTGCCTAACATGTGTGAGGCACTGGGTTCGATTCTCAGTACCACATAATGATAAATAAATTAAAGGTACTGTGTCTATCTACAACTATTTTTTTTTAAAAGACATACCATAGTCCAAACCATACTTAAAACTACTGAGTAACATAAAATTTTAAAAATTATGAAATAAAACAAATGTTATCAATCAACAGTGATTGCACTATGGAAAGAGCCAATTGACACTCTTTTTGGTTTTTCACCTATGATTGTGAAAATTCCTGAAATTTAAAGGTTGAATATAGCCATGATTTCAGCTATTCTGAGAATATCACAAGCAGGTCAGCAATTAGAATTATACAGGTTCACAACAGAAAAGGACAAAAAGAGAAGCTTTGCTACCTCTCCTCTTGATATGCCTAAACTAATATCTTGCACAGCCATAGTCTTCTTAAAAAAGCTTCCATAACTTTTACTGAGGCTGTTTAACACAAGGATGTCTCCACTGGTCCTTCCTTCAAGCACCCTCATTTCCTCCTTTTCAACATCTATATCCTTGGAAGACTTGACTGTGCCTTGGAGAGAAGAATGACCCCTGGAAAGATAAAGTCAGAGTCAATTCACACTTAGGAAATTATATTGGGATATTCTATAAGAGAGATTATGAAAACAAGAGAAAACACCTTCAGATATCTATATCACCTTCAACCAAAACACCTTAATCTTGACATCCTGCTTACTGATTCCCAGCAAGAGTTAATTTTCATTCCCTAATTTGAAGGAAATATACATGCTACTAAAAGATACTGAAATAGATTGATACTCAACTAGAAATAGTTTTTAATTTTATGAATAATAAAGTAAATCCAGACCTTACTAAATGCAAAAAAATGCCATCAAACTATATCAACTTTTATAGGAAATAGCTCATTTAATAAAATAAATTATTAAAACATCCAAATACTATAAATTTATAGTTTAAGTTGGATTGCATATAAGGATTGTATTGATAGCACATCATACAACATTTTGCAAAAAGTATTCAATAAGTATTTTCCAGATGAATACAAATTTAATTATCAATTTCTAACCATTTCTCTCTAAATCTAAGCTGCTCTCTTTTCTTTATGGCTTTCAATCTGCTGCATTTTAATTTTCAAGTAAATTTCAATTTCCCCTGTAAACTGTAATATGCCTATATTTTAATGATTAAATAGGTACAGACCACTGAGTAAATATTATACTAACACTAATTTCCTGCTTTCCACAGGGCAATATTTTTATGGAATATGTTATCATATTGTTATGGAGGAAAATGGGTGAAAGGTAATAGGAGCTTAATTTTGCAACCTTGCAATTCTCAAACTATTTTAAAATAAGAAGCTATTAAAACTCAGTGAAAATATCCACTGCCAGTCCTCAGTCATCTTAACTCTTTTTTCTGTATTTTTTTCCCAGACCTGAAATCACCTTTTGGCAAAAATACAATATATTTCACACTTATCTTTGATGATTGATAGCTAGACATTCAGGAGTGTATATTATATCATTTATATAACATTCCAAAGCATGAAAAATGAATCAATGCATATAAAAATAAGAAAATCAGTTACCCAGAAGGCAATTATTGATGAGGAAGGAATATCAAAGGTGTTAAATATATTCAATTAATCTGAGAGGGGGTTACATGGGTGTGCACAATTTCTAAAAATCCACAAAATTATACCTTCCTGCTTGAATGTCATTTCCCTGTCCCAGGTGAAGGTCTGTTTCTTGATCTGCTTTGCCCTTCAAAGGCCTTTTCCTACTCTAAAGGATCAGGCCATCATTATGCCATCCTGTCTCCAGATGATCTCCAGACAACCTGTGGTACTTTACAGATACATCCTGGGTCTCAACCCAGAGTTACTTATCTCATGGTACCAGGAAGGGACACAGATGTGCACAACTGTTTAATCTTCACAACTAATTCTGGTGGCTGGAGAACAAGTGACGAAGATTACTTCTTGTTGGGCCCCCCCTTCCAACAATCCACAATCCTAATTCATTCAACTGCACTCAGCAATGTGACCCTCAGACATCTTCCAACTGAAAATCACAATAAATGGTATCTTTATCAAAGAAGAAAGATCCAGATGGACACTAGATATAGCAGAAATTTGCAAATGCTCCAGCATACCTAATATCTGGACCACATGGCTATTCTGACTCAGCCAGCACAAAGGACACAGAGAGCACACCCCATCTCCAGAAAAAAAAAAAAAAAAAAAAGGCAGGAAAGAAATCCCCAAACTCACCCAACCTGGATGATGTTGGGCTACAGCTGGATGCTAACCAAGACCTGAATTCTTAGCAGACAACCAGGGGTTGCAGAATGGAGCCAGGGTGTGTTAGACGATGACAGCAGTGAGGCAGGCTCCACACTCAACATCTAGCACCAAGGTTCTAGTGACAGATGCACTGCTCAGAATGGGGAAAGCCAAGTCTATTCTGTTCCTATTTAGAGCGCATGGTCTTATTCTCTTCCAAGATTCAACTATGGCATGTATAATTTTCCTATATGCTTGTAATTAAGCAGAGATAATTGATATAAATACTACAGAGGTGCCCCATAGATTTTTAAAAAAAGGATGTTATAGAAATGCTGAGATGGGTCAAAGTATTTTGGGAGCTGAGCAGAAGCAGGAAGAGGTGTTGGATGTTAAATCAGACAGGTGCAGGTAATATGAGGCAAACATCTCTGTGGTGATGGCAAAGGATCACAGATAGCTTTACCAGACATGAGTACCAGAGTTAGAGGTGCTTGTTAAGAACCTTGGAATGTACCTTTTAAATAATAATTAGTGACCCCATTGGATCTGGATTTAAATGACAAAAATGACAGCATCTCACAGTCATTGAACTATTTTGACAGATATCTATAAAGGAGCATCAAACAACTGGTATCTAAATTAGATTAAATTTATTTGCTCTGTGACATTTATGCAGATATAAAATAACAAAATTGACTATCTACTGTGAATATTAAAGACAAAATTCTTTTTGTAAAATTTTGACACAGGGTCTCACTACATTGCTTAAGGTCTCACTTAGTTGCTGAGGCTATATTTGAACTTGCCTCAGCCTCCCGAATTGCTGGGATTACAGGTGTGTGTCACTGGGCCCAATTAAAGACAAAATTCTAAAATAAGGTTCAACTAATACTTACACTTTACAAAATAAACATAATCCAGAGGTTATGTGTGTGTGTGTGCGCGTGTGTGTGTGTGTGTGTGTGTAACCCAGAGCCTCATACCAGGTGAAGCAAGTGCTCTACCACTGGCCGTATCCCCAACCCAGAATGTCTTTTCTTTTAAAAAAAAATCTTTTGATAATATAGGAGGATGAAGCAGCTGAAATTCTGCCAAAGACGGGGGGGGGGGTCTACATTACAGGTTTTAAAACAGACTGTACTGTTAAAGGATATCACAGCACAAACTGTATTTGTACAGCACTCTACTTCAAATTGAGTCAGTTTTTACAAATCTGCAGATTCCAGAGTGATTATGGCCAAATTCAAAAGAGCTTTGGAACTTGTAATCAAAATGGTTCTCTACGTTAGCAGCTTACATGGGATATGTGAGAAAATGCATCATGAAATGACTGAAAAGGAAAACATACATATATGAAAATCACCATAAAATATTAATAATGTTAGTTAGCCTTTATAATATTAATAGGTTCTCCAGTAACAGGGTCTTAACAATTTCTCCAAAATGAATCTCTCCCTTAAGCAGAAGTCAGAGGGAAATAGCACTGGGAAAGAGCAGGTCAATGGATTCAGGTCATGCAGGAGGAGATGCATCATTGAGGACCTGCACAAGAAAGTACATTTCTTCCCTATGTATCTCAAATGTATTATCTGACAATAATCTTGACTTCTTTGCAAAGTGGGTGTATGCGTATGTGTGTTTGTCTCTGTGCATGTATATAGACTAAAATACATGTCTATACATCTATCTAAACTGTGCATGGCACTGACTTGTATTCTAACTTAACAAAGATGAGAACACAGCAATAGAAGGAACTAGATTGGGTGAAGGCCATGCAGTTATCTCTGCTGAATTTTCATACTTTCCTGCTTCCAAGAGTTAATGGCATTTAGTCATAAAATAAATTACTTTATGGTATCAACCAAATTCACCTGAGGAACTACAAAGTAACAAGGAAATTGAGCAATTTCAAAGTGGAAAATACACAGAGACAACTAAATAATTGGAACGATTATCTCACCAGTTGGCACTTTATCTTTTGAAATTCCCTTTTCCTGGTGTTGGTGACTCAACATGAATCAAAATAAAAAAAAGAAACATAATATCTTAAATTATTATAACCATGCATAATACTGATCAGACACTTTTCTTATCTTGCAACCTCCAGGCTGGACTTTTTTCTCCCTTTCTTTATTCAAAAGTCACTGCCATGAGAGGCAAAGCCCTTCAGAACACACACACCTTGACCACTGCAGAAGGTCCCAGTGCAGTAGGATCCTCAAGAGGAGAAGAATTGTGCCCTGAGAGGCCAATACCACAAAGATCCAGCCCAAGAAGTCCATCTCAAAGGGACTCATATAGGAATCAATGCCGAAGTTGTGGGTCAGGTCATATTTGATCTGGTTATAACAGAGTTCTATCAGTCCTTGACCCAAGCAGAATTGAGGGAAAATAGTGAAGACCCACTTGAGGACATCATAGATATTCTGTAAATTCTGCACAGAGAGAGAAACAAACAATAAAATTAAAAGCTATTTCTCTTTGATAACGTATCCATAACTTATTTTCCTCCTTTGTTGGAGCTGTGTCCCAGGTTTCCCTATCCCAACTACTCAGGAGCATCCTCACACAGCTATCAAACTAAAGAAGTTTACTATTCAGATTTTGGATACAATGGTATTTGCCTTGCTCGGCTTTACCTGCTTGCAACCCATGACACCTTTATTCCTTTTCTCTCCTTTAGAATAGGAATGCCTATCATATGGCTGTCTCACCATTATATTTTGGCAGCACATAACTTATTTGGTTTCAAGGGCTCACAGTTCGAAACAAAATTGCCTCAGGATGAAATATAACTTTCAGTTTCACCCATACCTGATTCAGGTGGTATTTATAAATGAGACTTTGGACCTTAGATTTTAGAGTGGATGCTGCAATAAGTTAAGACTTTAGGGTTGGTGAGATGGAATGAGTATATTTTGCATGGGACAAAGATTTGAACTTTGGGGGCCCAAGAGCAGAATGTTATGGACTGAATATTTGTGCTACTCTCAAATTCATACTTTGAACATTGTCAACACTGTCAATGTGACACTGTTAGACATGGGGCCTTTGAGAGGTAGTTAGGTATAGATGAAGTCATGAGGGTGGAGCTTTCAAAATGGAATTAATATACTATGAGAACATCAAAGGACAACAATGCTCGCTCTCTCTCGCTCGCTCTCTCCACCCTTTCAGGACACAATGAGAATGTAGCCATCTAAAAGTCAATCACAGGGTTCAATGAAGAACCAAGTCTAAAGTCCCCTTGATCTTGGACTTCTCAGTATCTAGAGCTATTGGAAATATGTTCTACTGTTTAAGCTATGGTCTTTGTTACAGCAGTGTTAGAGTCTGTAAACAAGTCAAAATAACACCTGGCATTTTGACAGGGGAAGGTTAGAGTTCGTAAACAAGTCTGGATGGTGCCTGGCAAAATGCCAGAGGGAGTGGTTTGAGAAGTAACAAAAGCGAGCCATTAAGTGTGGAGATTCCTTATTGGTTGACTGATGTATCTAGTTTATGCTAATTAGATAAGCTGTGTGGAATGTATAAATACTGCTCCTGTCCTGCAATAAAAGGCTCCCACTCCTGCTGTATCAACGTACACAAGTTGTTCGTCACCCCCCGGTTATTTTGCTGCAGCCGGACTGCGGCACAGCAGTAGGAGCAAACTAAGACACATGGGTAATATTAGTAGTCCAAAGATGACATGAATGTTTCAGTGAGTTGGAAATATCAGGAACTTGTGACTGTGAACACTTAAATAATATGCCAAATGTCTAGTTAATTCTTAACACACAATAAACATTAAATATATGCATCATCATTATTAAACACAAAATTGAGTGGTGCCACAAAAACATGTATAAGAGGTCAAAAAGATCCCAGAGAAAATGAATCAAATAAAATAGACTGTATATCTGAACACAATTTTAAACAGAATATATCTAGAAATTTTAAATCTCTCATACATTCTGTTCTTGTCGTTACTATCTGGTAAATGCTAATTTTACTTTTAAATGAGATTAAACTTATTATACTGTTAAATCAATTATCCACTAAATGCTTTTGGCAAATTGTCATGCTTTCAGCTTCATTGGACTTTATCATATTTCATTCTCTCAATAAATATACAAGATTTCTTCAGTTACCAATGAAGAAACAGTCTCAAATGGTGATTAATATATGCAAGCCACACTCATTAGGGCCAGGAATTGATCCTGACCTTTCTAATCCAAAGAACAAGGTCTTTCCACTAAGGAGCATAGCCTTTGGAGAAAATTCACCAAAATGCTGGTCTGTTCAGTTGACATTTAGACTCAGTAAAGCTATCTGAAAGTATTTAACCCAGAAAGAACACATTAACTGGAACTACCAAACCCTGCAAATACAATGAAGAATTAGACTTATATTTTACAGTCTTTCACTACTCTATCTAAAAATGAACAAGTTTATTTTATAAGTTAGGGAAAATCATCACAATATGTTCATATGATATTATATATATATCATATAATATATATTTAAAAATAAACTTATATAATTGTCAATGCATATTTCTCACTAGATAATATACAGTTTTTCCCTTACAATGCAAACTAAACACTTAACTAAGCTAAGTATAGCCTTAAATAATGTGTTTTTGAGCTACAGCAAATTTAATAACAACTTTTTAAGGCATTTACTATCATAATATGATTTATTGTCTTTTGCATGTAGACATGAAGAAAGTACAAAAGCTTCATTTAATTCTTTCTTAGTTTTTTCTTGACTGCTACTAGTTATACATTTTGATCAGTCCTAAAGGAGCTTATTAATTCCACTTTTCATAAAACTATATCCCTGGATCAATTAATGTACCTCATGAAAAGATTTTATATTATTAGTGTTAGTATAGGAACAGCAGAAGAGTGTAGGTTTTAACTCAGTATTGGTAGGTAATTAAGGAAATGACATACTAATGGTGATGACTTTATATCTCATTTTAAGGAATTCACAATCATCTCCATACAAGTATGAACAAAGAAGTATGAACACTGAGTTAATAGAGAGTCCACGCATTTGAGGGGTTGTAGCTGCATTCATGGACAAAGGATCCACACACAGTGTTCCATTTAGGATATGTAGAGACTGATCACATGACCAGTCTACCCAGAAACAAGCACATTATTTTTAATTCCACCAACATCCTTCTGGCCCCAACAGGAATCCTTACCAGTAGGAGAGAGAGAGATCCTAAACTTCCTTGCACTAGAAACTAAAAGCATAATTTTATCAACTACGATTTGATAACAATGAAAAAATATCACATCAACACTATAGTTTATATGCATGATGGTTAATATGATATTATGGTTTTGATATGAAGTGTCCCTCAAAAGCTCCTGTGTTAATACAGCAATGTTGGAAGGTGAAATGCCTGGGTTCTGAGAGCTACACCTAACCAATCCCATTCTAGTTTGGATGGGCTAAGTGGATGTTAACTGTAGGGCATGGCTGGAGGAGGTGGGAACTGGTACCACCTTAGTACCCACTGAGGATGGATTCTGCCATGAAAGGGTTCATCTTCCCTAATGGCCTTTCCCCTTTCTATCTCCGCTTCCTGGATGCCAAGAACAGATATTTCCCTTCCACCAAGCCAATCTGCCATAATATTCTGCTTTACCTTGGCCCCAGAGCAATGGAGTCACCTGCCCAAGGTCTGAAAACCATGACCTCAAAATAAACTTTTCCTCCTCTCAGTTCTTCTTGTCAGGTATTTTGGTCAAAGCAACAAAAAGCTGACTAATACATATGGGTTATATTAGATCTTATGACTGACCTGAGAAGTCAGTTGCTTTTTTTTTTTTTTTTTGGTTTCTTTCATTAAATCTGTAAGATCATATTGTTCCATGACTTACAAATGAATACTTTTCTTAGAAATCAATACTTGAATAATTGTGAGTTTTTAAGACAGAGAATATCAAAATAAAGAGCAAAGGAAAAGAAAGACATAAGAAAATGTAATAAAATTGTTCTTGTTACTTATTACCAATTGATTTAGACCAATTTTATTTTTGCGAAAATAATATCTATTAGCTAGCATTTTCTTTAGGGAGGCAATGATGTTTATAATTGGAAGTAACAATGTGTTTCTACCTGCCATGCTTTTAGACTTTAATGGATGAAAATGTTCCTGGCTAGTTTCCTCTATTATCTTGTCCCCTAGAATTGACCTGAATTCTGAGTTTCTCACCTTTGGGATTGTTTATTTTGGGTCAGATTTATTTTTTACCACAATTCCTATGTATTCCTGATGGCACATGTCATATTACAAACTGATAGAGGGGGAGGAAAATTGTATTCTGCTTCTGCTGATTTCAATATTCTTCTCAAGCTAATGCCAATTAATTGTTCTGAAAGCTTTCTATTTAAAGGCTAGACATATTAACACAGATTACTGTCAAACCAGATCTGTAAAAAAAATCACTGAAATAGATCATTCCCCTCATTGAATGTGTAATGGATATTTACATACTTCATTGCTTCTGCACAAACATGAGGCACAATAATAAAAAATAATATTGGCCATCATTCAAGAGTCTGCTAAGTCTGATCCAATCATGAGGAGTAAAGCCGCCTGATCAGGTAGGCATCAGTTCTTGTGTCATTGGGAATGATACCAACAGCACATCCTTCAACGGGGAGCTCTGTACCTTTCTCAGGTGATTTTCTCAAACTAAGCATTAGTCAAACCCTGGGAACAAATGAGAAATCAAAGCTCATGTGAACAGCAGGAAGCCAGAAGGGAACAGTGTGATCAGAGGTGAGAAAAGAGTGCAGAAACAAAAAGGATTAAAATATAGGGTCAAAATAGAGCACAAGGTCCGAAGTCTACACCCATTGGTCATACATGGGCTGTCAGATGGCTTGAAGCACAGGCCAAGAGTAAGGAGAGACAGGAGAGAAGGGGAATGGCAAGGAACAATTGGAATGTGTCTACAGAAAGCATTCAGCTTGACCTAGACACCAATTTGGATGTTTGGAAAGTACCCTAAAAGGTCCTTGCTAATGGGAATGGCCTAATGAAGAGAAGCATTTTTCTATTTCTTAGTAGAATTTACTGTTTTTTATTCATTTAGTAAAAACTAAATCAGTACTAGGGGATATAGGAGAGAAGGCAGAATCCATACAGATGTGTTATGATCTGAAAGTAGGGTCAGTTGCTGTGGCCCATCCTACACTGTAATGTCCAACCACTGCCATGGTGACATTGTGACAAGGCACTTATCAGTGCATTCACTCATCCATCATTAATCAGTAATTCACCATTGAACGATCTCTAAGAAAGACACCAGGTATGCAGCAGTGACCATATTCATAGATCTGCCTTGGCTTTTGGAACAGTTGCAACTGTGCATCCTTTGTTCAATTATCACCAACCCAGCACATGGCTCTTATAATGCTACAGATGGGTTTTTAAATTAGAATGCATTTCTTTTTCTGGAATTTGAAGGCAGTGGATACTAGCACATTTCCATTGAATTGCAGTAGGAAAAACAACAAAAGACACATGCATCCCTGTTCTCCTTTCACTCATGCCTTCAGAAATGACACATTGCCACTGACTGACCTGGGCTTTGGAGATGATGGCCAGGATCCGGGGCATGGTGGTCATTAGCATGGTACACAGACCAAAGATAAAGTTCAATGAGATGTAGGAGATGAAAGCCACATCTGAACTGGAGAAGATTCTGGACATCAGATACATCCATGGAAGTGTTGCATATCTGAAAAACAGAGTGGAAATTTATATTTATTTTCCTACATTTATTTTTATAATGACTGAATTATGGATGCAATTTTACTGGCCTGGTAAAGTTTTTCTGTACATAGTTAACAAAAATAAACTTCATGTAACATATCTCATGGTCTCCAATAGACAAAGCGCTCTTCCTGAGGCTTCTAATGACCCTGAACGTAATGGAAAGAGCACTGTGTACGTTGGTTAGGAGCCTGACCTTCCAGCTTTGGGACCTGGGGCAAATCAGCTGACATCCCCCACCACCTCTTCCTGCAATGGGACACTTCTCTGTTCTGTGTCTCATCGTTAAGAAATAATGCTTGGGGCTGGGGTTGTGACTCAGTGGTGGAGTGCTTTCCTAGCATGTGTGAGGCAATGGGTTTAATCCTTAGCACCACATAAAAATAAATAAGTAAAATAAAGATATTGTGTCCATCTATAACTAAAAAATTATTTTAAAAAAAGAAATAATGCTTATTTGTTATAGTGAGAATTGAAAAATAATGAGAATATGAAAAGCCACCAGTGCTCTACATAAAAATAAGGCATAAAGATAAAATCTGAAAGTTTCATGTACAGAATGCATATTCATAGTAGGCACTATGCTGTCACTTCCACAGTGTCCTCTACTCCTCCACACACACCCCAACAATGTGAAAGGTGGAAGTCTGATCCTCCTCTTCCAGGTAGAGCAACAAAGAGTTGACACCTTTATCAAACTTTCAGAGCTGACCATACATGAGTCTGGCACAGGATTAATTTCTGAACATGCCAAAACTGAGTAAGAAGGAGTATTGCTAAATACTGAGCCCTGGAAGCAGTTCTTGTGAGTTTCTGATGACATCTACATCTAAAAATCCACCCTGTCCCTAAAATGAAACCTCTCATTTTCTTCATTTTATCTCCCACAGTCTTAAAACTGAGTTTCATTCATGGCCAACTTTCTTCTACTTCCTTCTGTTGCAGCAAAATGGTGTCATTGTATTGCACACCATATTAAAGGAAACTGGCACTTCGAATGATAGCTCCAAATATCAGCAGAGAAGCTACTTATTTTAAATCATAGCCTTTCCCATAAGCTTCATACATCCAGAGTCCTTGTGTGTTCTCTGTACACTGAAGGTAAACACATCACTGTTTTCTTATAGTGACTGTTAAACCTGAAATACTTCAGTACCTTTAAATGACTAAGCTTTTCTTAATATGTTAACTAGTGAGACTGAAATGATGTGAGATGTCAGGGCCTCAAGATGGTTACTATCTTAGTTAAACTTTCCTTTTCAAAAGAAATCTGTGATACTGGAATGTATTCCTGGGCTAAAAACTACATTCTCTTATTTTGGAAAATATTTGGAATATTACATATAAAATCATATAGTATCTCAGAAACTTTATAGCAGTCTGCATCCTAATTTGGACTTGATGAAAATTATTTGAGCACATGCTGGAGATGAGAGCCATAAAACAATTGTTCTAAAATACTTGCTGTATAAAAGAATTAAGTTAAACCAAAATAATTACCAAGAGAGAAACTGTGACTTCTCATTTCTTCAAACTGTCAATATCTGTCTGAAATAAATTACTACACAGAAGAATCAACCCCTGCCCCCACTCATATACACAACTTATCTACATTTTCTCCTTTGTTGTCTCTTCTGGGGCAAAAATCAAGTGCTACCTTCTGTTATCTAACTTTGTTGAGAAGCAAATAAAATCACAGTATTGAAAGTATTTTTGCAACTGACATATAAGCAATAGCAGCATGTGAGTCAAATTTGGGGGTAGCTTTAATTGCCATAAAATTTGTTCTGGGAGTGAACAAAAAATTGTCTTAACTTAAAAGTACTGGTTCAAACTCTATATTATAGAACAACATGTAACAGATTGCTTTTCTTTTCCACATGACAGACTTCATAATAGCCGAAAATAACCATTTTGGTCCGCATATGCCTCCACTACAAAAGACCAGATCACTCTTTGTTCCTTGTAAAACATGATATCCAGCCAGCTCTCTCTATTAAAATTGGCAATGTGGGGTTTAGGGGAATTGGGGAAAGAGGCTCTGCACTGAGCATCTGATGTGGTCAGCACTGCGCAAAGCACAGCAGGATCACCACCCCCTTTGATCAGCATCCCTGCATTGGAGGATGAAATCTAAGAATGCCTTCCTCCAATCTATTGGAGGGACTAATCCTCACCTGGAAGCTAGGCCCTGCTCCACTGAAGATGGCTCAGAATCTGCACTTTGTTATTGTTACATAAGGTTTCCATACTGGGTTTTGTCATTTAAATATTTGACAAGTGGATCAAAGCATTGTCTAAGAAAAGTGAATCAGAGACAAAGACATAGTCTAAATGATGCCACCAGGGAGCTCCTATTGCTACATTAATGAGCAGCCTTTGAGAGTGGCTTTCAGACAGTGATGATTCCACCACATCACTTTTTTTTTAACTACATTTTCATTAGTTACCTTTTGAATACTTGGTTGAAATGAACATATTAGCAGCTCAAATCCCCTTATCTTTTGCATTTTTTAAGAAAAAAATTGAATTGACTTGTAGAACATAATTTATTGAGGGAGGTGAACCCTACTTTGGCTTTTTCTATTCCATGATATTTTACTAAAATATAATATATTGTTTTAAGGATTTTAGAATTTGCTGGACATTGGTGTACTGCTGAGTAGTTTCCTGGAATTTATGGCAGGGTATTGTTATCACATCCCCGCTTCGAAAACTGACCCTTTCCCTACTCTGCGTGAATTTCCCAAGACACCAGAGAGGATTCTGTGACTTCATCCTCATAATCATTCAGCACCAAACATGCCCCAAATATATTCTAGAGTTTAAATTTTTCTTATACAAGCTAGACTATTTTTTCTTTCAGAGAGTTTTAAGTGTTATTTTCCTCTTTTTAATAATCCCCTTCCATCAATTTTTACTTGAAAGAAAAAGATAAAGACTATGACTAGGCATTTGTGTTTTGTTATCTCCTAGAGAGCATCTATTCATTTATCCCAGCTCTTATTTTCTTAGAGTCCAACTCATTGCATGGCCCTCCCTCAATCATGGATGTATTCTGAGGTTCCAGCTTGTTCTGTGACTCAGCCTTCCTGGAGATTGTTCTTGGGCTTCTGGTACCTACAGGTCCTGTTGGGGACAAGAGTGAGTCACCTCTGAATCCTCACCCATAGATGGCTGGGTACGCAGGAGATGCAGCTCCCCAGACTGAGGCTCTCTCTGCTCTGTCACCCATAGTAGTGGGTCACTGGTCTCAGAGTTTCACAGTGGGGTGGCTGTGCTCCAGTGAGGAAATCATGACCTTTTAAATCTGGGTTAGTCTACTACTAGATGTTAGCCCATGAACTCTTTTGGGCTCTACTTTATTGGAAATTAGTCCAGATAGCAAACACAGTCTGACTTATCTTTTATATCTTCTTATTCCTGCTAACCTAAGAATTCTGAACAGGAAGTTTGTAATAGAAATCGTTTATCAACAGATCTGTGAGTCTTTAAACCTCTTTTTAAAAAATGTTGTTCTATACATAGGGAGAATTCTTAACTTGGTGCAAATTCCTAAAGGAGCTCATAATCAAATTTATGGTTAATAAAATTTTCTTAAAATATGTTTATAAGGAGGCCGGGGATGTGGCTCAAGCAGTAACGCACTTGACTGGCATGCCCAGGGCGCTGGGTTTGATCCTCAGCACCACATACAAATAAAATAAAGATGTTGTGTCCACTGATAATAAATATTAAAAAACTCTCTCTCTCAAAAAAATATGCTTATAAGAATTTCTAAACATTGACCTTATATTTCTTAATTTTTGAAATCTGTTTCTCTAAAATTCAAAAATCATTTATTTTTTGTTAGTAAAGTCCATTTTACTAACTCTATAAGACACATGACTTATGTACTCAATGGGATCAACAAACTAAAAATAAGGCCATATACATATATAGTTCTTTATATAAGAGCTTAATTTCAAACTGAATATTTAAAAAAAACATGTCTACTATAGCATTTTTTATAGCAGAGGACATCGTATCTCCAAAAGAGTAAAATAATTCCAAGAGTAACAATAATAGCTAAAATTAATTTAATTGGACTCTGTACCACTCATTAGCCAAGCTGTTTGCAGGAACTATCCAATTTAATCTTTCCAGGAACAGAATTTGAGTTTTACAGGGAAATATTGAGGCTCAGACGGAAGAATTTATATTTCCAAGGCCACAGTATTAGAGAGTAGCAATATCAATATTCCTGTTGCACTTTCTCTTTCCCCCTACATATCCTTCCACTTATCCATCCATCAATTAATTTATTGATCCATTCATCTGATAATGATGAATACTTCTTCAAATAATTCTTCATCACCTAATTAGATGTTCTAAAAAATCCTGAATCACTGATATAAGAAGTATGTAAAACTCATTTTAGTTGTAATCTTAGGCTTAAATTAAAGCTGAGTGTTTTATTTCAAAATAGCCTTGAATTACGATAAAGTAAGTACATTAATTATTTCCCTATAAGAAAGTATCTGTAAGCAAACACATACACTGGCCACATAAGACACATATTTCTGATATCAGATAGGCATTATTTAGGGTCCACTCGTAATGATCCTGATTAATGTACATATGAGAAATTTGTACAATGATTTTCTCTTTATGCGATTTTTTCTCTGAGAAAAAAGTAATCGAAGTCAGGCAAAACATTTTCCAACTACTAACGTTATAGGAGAGGGAAATATATGCCAGACAGCGGTTCACAAGAGAATCTCCTCAAATGCAATTTCAGAGCTAACTGGATTATGTATTTGAGCCCACGATTAATGTCAAAGTGAGAATAACAGAGAATCCATTTCCCACTGCACAAGTTTGTCAAACAGCTTGAGGGCCTTTCTGAGACAGGGCCAATGCCATCTTCATTATGACCCTGTCACCCTTCCTCCCTCCACGGGAGCATTCATCATCTTGCTCAAGCTTGTTTGTTCAGCGTCCCTTGTAGAAGCAACATAATTGCTCAGGAGGAGAGAAAATCATGAAGCCAACAGCAGGTTCAAAGCCATCCTGAGGGTTTTTTCTTTCAGAAAACAAACCATAATTTTGCAGCAGTGTTTCTCATCACATACCCGAAAAGTGCCAGCAGGAGGGCTGTGGCCGCCAAGTTCTCACGGAAAGTGAAAGCTGTTAACTGGAAGGCCATAATAATGGCGACACACAGGCAGACGGAAACCAAGTAAAAGAGCTGAGAAAATAAAAAGAAAAAAGGGAGACGTGTTGCATCAGTTGGTCATGTTATATGTTTATCTCAAATGTTCCTGTTAACTTCTGCTTAAACATAGCTCCTACTTCATACATTGTAAGACTGGTAGTATAATTTGTCCTAGAGAATCAGGACAGTCACTGTTATGGGCTGAATCATGTCCCCCCAGAATTCAACTGTTGAACACCTAGGACTTCTGAATGTGACTGTATTTGGAGACAGGGCTTCACAGGTGAAGCCTGGTCCTATGTGACTGTGCCCTTATAAGAAGAGGAAATCAGCACACAGATACACAGAGGGATGAAACCACGAAGACACAAGAAGCACCATCTACAAGCCAAGGATAGAATCCTCAGAGAAACCAACCCTGCTTGTACCTCAGTTTCAGACTTGCAGCCTCCAGGACTGTGAGAAGATAAGTTTCTGCTAAGTGCCCAGTCTGTGGTATTTTGGGGTATGGCAGCCCTAGCAGCCTGACAGGGTCAGTTCTACCCATCTTCTTTCAGAAAAGTCAAGGAATCCAGTCACTCTCCAAGAACAAGGCTCTGCCCACATGTAGAATGAAGGGCAGACTCCTTGTCCTGTCCTCCTACATAGCCTTCCTTTGAGGTACTTCCACAGGACAACAGCCAGGGCGCTTCTTGGGGGCTCTCAATACCCAGTACTTATTCTTTGGGGGGGCTTCTGGCTGCAGAGCTCTTCTCAGTGTCACCCATGTGACATGGCATTATTCATGCTTACTTTTCAGATCTCAGCTTAAATTTCATTTCCCTCTTTGTGCTCCCAATTTAAAGTTATCCTCCTCCATATTGCCCCGTTTTATTTTCTCAATAAATCTAGCTATGAGCCCCTTCTACCTGGTACATTTATTTAGTCGTTTTCTGCTGCTTCCCATTAGATTATAAGCTCTATGACAGGAGAGATATTCTCTAACTTTTTCTTGACTTTAGTATCAACAATTATGTCCATTTGAGTAACTAAAATAGCATACCATAGCCTGAATGGCTGATAAATAACAGAAATGTATTGCTCATGGTTTTGCAAACTGGGAAGCTCAAATTCATGGCATCAGTAGATTTGTTTTCTGGTGAGGGTCTGCCCACCTTTTTCTTCATAAATGGTACATTTTCGCTGTGTTTTCACATGGTGGAAATGGAAAGAGATCTCTCTAAGGTCCTTAAATAAAGGCACCGACCCATTCCAGAGGGTTCCACCTACATGACTAATCACCTCTCAAGGTCCCACCTCCTAATACCATTACATTGACTATTGGGTTTGAAAGTTGGATTTTGGGTGGAAATTAACATCCAGACATACTTTGACACATAGAAGGTCAAATGAATAAAATATTTTATTCATTTATTCTATTCATCTAATGAGTCATCAAATAGAATGATCAGGGAATGAATGCATAAAGGTAGAAGAAACAATAAATCAAGAAGCTAATAAATCCTCCCTATCCTGAAACTCCAAAGAGAAATATTATAGGTAAATAAGGCCTCACATTGAGTGTGAGGAATAAAGAGATTGTCAATTAAGGAGGTAGCAAAAGGAAAACCCTAGGGTTTGGAAAACTTTGGATGCTTTCTGGTGTCTCCTGGTCTTATGACTTGGTTCATCTTCCCTTTCCCTGGGGATGGTGAGTCCATTAGACACCATGAATGGGAGACGTGGAAGAGAAGAGTGACTCTTGGCCACATGTGATACTGCACCAAATTGAACAGGAGGTAAAAGCAGGCACTGAGCCTGTGCCATACCAATCAGAAGTATGGTCCTGGATGAACCATTTCCTCTCTCCAGCCTTCAAGAACCCCTTGGTAAAGATGAGGGCATCCAAGGACCAGCATTATTCAGTCTTGTTTGAGATTCATAAATTACCTTGGGGTTCTAATGAAAGGAAGACCTCAAAGACCTATCCACACCCATAGAACACAATCTTGCAGGTGGGCCCTTGGGAATCTAGAGAAGTGTCTAGATGGTTACTACCACCAAGTAGGTTTGGGGAAAACCCTGATTGAGGTGAACTCAGATGTGACCTGCATAAACTGTACTTTAAAAAAAAAATCTAGGTTACATGATCAAAAAGAAACAAATCTGCTAAATTCTAAGCCAGTTCAAAGGAATAAATACTACATAAGAGCAACATGTTAATGCATCAGATTCTGCACAAAATAATACAGCTGTTATAGAACCTAGTTAATGGCAAGTACTCAGCAAATGTTAAGCCTGCCCTACTCCCACAGACATAAAATTTCTCAAATCATAGGATGAGTCATTTATGAAGGCACGAGGACAAAAATATCACATTCCTACAAAAAGGGCAATGCCACTCTGTAACAATGAAAGTGACTACTGACCATCAAAGAGCACTTCTCTCATAGAAGATGCACTTTCTAAAGCAAGATAAATGTCCTCAACTCTAGGGAACAGCTCAACAATGCATCTGTTACTGTCTTCTTTGGAACTGCAGATAATGATCAGGAGGGTTTCTGCTGGGAAACTGAATTCCTGCAAGAAATACTAATAACTGCTGTATAAACTAGGGAATGGAGCTCAAGCCTCAGTGGGGGTGCTTTTAAGCATGCAGATGACAGATCTTTTCTAATTATTTATTAATCACCTCATCACCCACCCCTTCAAGAGTGCATATTAAAGGAGATTATTTATTCATTTCCCTAATAAGAAACTTTGCATTTCTGGTCAGGCTCTTCATTTCCCAGCCTGAGATTCCTGAGTCTTTGCCATATGAAGCATTCCTAAATGACAAATAATGACCAGTAAAGGTGACTTAACCTGAAATGCTCTCAATAATAAAATTATCCCTTCTTTTGTGGATAGTCCCCACACGCCCAGGTCTCCTCTTCCTCACCCTCACACACACACACACACACATTGAAGGGATCACTAGCATAGAGGTTACTGGGATCTCATCCCAAATCCTACCATGTCATACAGGAAGTGAGTGAACCAGTAAGTCCTGTAGCCAAGGCCACTTATGTGCTGCAACCTCTTGGCTCCGGTCACTCTGTCCCTCACCACAGAGCTACCAATTGATGCAGACAGGATAGAGAATCCCAGCACAATGCAGAGGGCAACACCACACTGGCGGATGCTCTCCAGGCTGTAGGCAAAACAGAATAGCTTGTCAGATTTAGAGGAGGAACAGGAGTCTTCTTTCTATTAAAAATCAGGGACGATAATCAGTTAGGCAGACTATCTAAATATAAGAATTCTCTCATTAAATCCCTGTGACCAACTTTGGAGACATGGATTATTGTTCAGAAGCTAAAAGACATAACTGAGAATTATAAAGTTGAGGAGCAATTTCAAATGAAAGACATGCCCAGGACGACATTCAAAATAGAGTGTGGACTTTGCCTACATTGGGATTTCTTTGTTCTACAGCAGCCCCTGCCAAGAAGGGGCATTTGCATACCTTGCAGGCCCATCTCCAAATTTAGTTACTTAAAATACCAAAATAATTTTACAAATGGTCAAGGTCTAATCATACACATTGCACACTCTCTTGGGCACTTTTTAAAACTGGAATACTACTCTTGTTCTTTTGTCCAGCCATGTGCTGCCTGCTCTCCTCTGTTCCACCTCTGGGAACAGCAGTGCACAAATGATCTTTCAGGTGTCCAACATGATGAAACATTTCACCACCAAACATCCGCTGGGCCATGCCTTCTTTTCCAACATGTCTTGTTCTATAAAAGATGTCAACTAGCCCACTCCTGGAACTCTAGGCAGGTGTCAGAGACTGTTAAAGATATTATCCTGAAAATCAGTATATGAATGAGAGGACAAACTGCAACCCATCCTTTCTGTGATGGTAATGATTTGAGGAGAGAATGCCAATTAAGCATATTTTATTCTCACCTTGGTAGGTCACAGCAAGTGCATAAATAGTATTTATATTTATTATTGAATTTTAACTAAAAGTTTTTCAAACATGATATGGAAAGGGAGATGGAAGAAAAAAAGAGAAGTTGGACAGAACTATATCTTGTAATAAGACAAAAGAAACTGACATTCTGTACCTAAAAGAGCTGGCTTTAACACCTGCCCAATGGCTCCATGCCCCATTGGGACTGTGAGGAAAATCTCACATGAGAACTATCCAGGGAGACACTACTATATTCACCTATCTGAATTCCACATTTATGATGTTAAATTGAAAAAGTGTCCTTGAAGATGTGCAGTCCCATAAGCTGTGGGAAACACATCCCCTTAGGATGATTTCTGCTTAAAAATATAGCTGCATGATATTTTCATAGCTCAGTCAAACCACTGACCCTTTTAATAATCACTTTCCTCCCGCTTTGCAAAGAGATGCCCAGGCCCTGTGCCACTAACTACATATGCCAACTTCTCTCCCAACAAATGTCAAAAAGGGATCAAAATCACCACTAAGAGACTCAAAGATATTCTTCCATACTTGGGGCCCTCCCAGCATTCCTTCAACTCACATCTTGTCTTCATTCAGCAAGGATCCTCCATATGGGTGGCTATAGAGTGTAATTCCTGTGAACAACATATTGAAAAGTGAGCCTTCTGCTGCATGGTGACACACAGCCCACCTCCAACCCACATAGAGTCTCCTTGCCCACAAGACATCTCCCGTCTGCTTTATCCAGGCCTCAGTCCTTTAGTAGCAACAAAGGGCAAATTCTGTCATGTAATTCAGCTAATGTGCACTGGGATTTTTGCATTGCTGCTCTGGTTAAACATAACTAGGATGTAGTATAAATGCATTATATGTCAGGTACTATGCTCATGTTATATGTTATTGTTAAGTGTTGTAAGTATCTCAGTACTGAAGGAACATACCATTCATATTTTATGGTGAAGAAACAGACTCAGGCTACATAACAATATGCAGAGGAGGTCATCTGATAGAAACCAGGTCAATATTCAGTTTACATCTAGATCAAGCCAGATCTAGACAGATAGAAAACTCAAGCATTTCTTTTTCCTTGGTGCAATTTCTATTTTGGAGTTGTCCTTGGCTTTGTTTGCTTTCTCAGGCTTGTACATTAGTGCAATGCCAGCAGCCAATGTAGAGAAATTGCCATAAAGTTTCAAGTAAAAGGATTTCATTTAAAAAGTTGTTCATAATATCACACAGCATGGTATCTCTTCTCTAGCAAATCCCAGTCGATACTATATCAAGAACTCCATAACTTCAGGCAAATGGTTTGTGTTTCATCTTAAAGACACTGTGAACTATAAGAGTAATTGGGCTTCCTTTTTCTAATTGGTTGTTTTAAATGTTTGTAGATACATTGTGGCTTGAACATGGAGACCAACGCAGTAAACACAAAATCTTTGCTCTATTTTATGTAGTCACTCCTGTTTTTTCCTTTTCTTTTGAACTCACTTTTAATTAATCCTGTTGTCTATATTTTGCACATCAAATTCTTACTAAAGCTATCATGGAGTATAAGTAAACATAAATAAATTAAAAGGTACAGTGATAAAACAGACCAAAGTGCTCCAAAATCTCAACAGTTTTGCCGCCAGACACCTTGAGTTCTGTCTGTTTACCACCTGTTCTCTTCAACTTGACCAGCCTTTTTATTTCCTCCATTGTGGACTCAATCGTGCACTAAAGAAAGCTCTGAATCATGGCAGACATCACAGTGGGAGCTAATGACCCAGCTAGTCTCTTGTACAGTTTCCAGAATAAGTTCTCTGATTATAAATTAATATTGTGCAGATATGCTGTCCTGGCTCCTGGGACAGGGGTGGGGGGTCCCATGTCTGTTGTGTGGATTCCCAGAGCATTACAAACAGCTGCATGGAGAGGACTCCTTGTCTGTCTGGACCACTAACATTCCCTACTCTTTCTCTCCCTTGTCTGTCTTTTGCTGAATGTGACTTCTATCCTTACTCTTTATAATATTTTCCAGTTACCATGCTTTCCAGCAAAAGGTCTGACTCATAGGCAGCAAGCCTTGTATTTGATGAGGAGTCTGATAGCGACCAGATCTACCAGGTGGTCATATAAAAGCCAGCAGACCTTAGAAGTGCTTACACGAGGGGAGATTCTGCCAAGTGTGGCAGGTGTCCCTTTGGGTGCTGCAGAGAGGGGAGTATAGTTGCAATGTTGTATGATATTCCAGAGTCTGTGTACGAATGAGAGTATTCTTGATTAAAGTGAACTCAGAAAAGTGTGGTTAGCCCACGAAGATCTGGAAATCATGTCATTTTAGAAACATAAGAGAATACTGGAATTATTCAACTAGAAAATACACACACACACACACACACACACACACACATATCTGGGGCAAGAGGAAGCTTGGAAATGTCTTCAGATAGCTAAAGCATCATCATAGGTCAGAGGAAACAGGTTGGGTCTATAATGTTTTGGAGGGAGAAGTTGGTCCAAGGGGGAAGGTTGAAAAATATAATTAATGAAAGATAAGATTAGAGAATGGGAAGCTCAAATTCTAGGGAAGAGAGAGGACTGGATATTGAGTTTAGTTGTGTAGGCAATAGCTTCCTTAATCATAATAAAACCCCGGTCAAAATTCTGCAAATGAAGACTCAATGGAGGTCAGGTTAGTGAACAACTAGATATCCGGGGGGGGGGGGGGGGAACATGGCCAGATTCCTTGAGTTGAGAGCATGGAAGCTCTGCAACTTTTCCAGAACTTTTGCCTTATGCATCTCTCCATTTTGGCTGCTCCTCTTGATTTTTATCCTTAAAATAAAACTATTGTAAGTGTAGTGCTTTCCTAAATTCTATGAATTATTCTAGCAAATAATCAAACCTGATGGGGTCATGGGCACTCCACATTTCTAGCCAGTCAGTCTGAAGTGCAGATGGCCTCAGAACCCTTGAAGTGTAGTTGGCATCTGAAAAAAACAGCAGTCTTGTTGGGCACCATGCCCTTTGGGTTTACCAGGCATAACTGAGTAAACCACTGGCGATAGGATTGAATTCAAGATCCAGTCCTCTCTCCTTCCCAGGAGTTGGACTGACCCAGCATCCACACCCTCTCATCATATGCTTCTTATATTTTTGAACCTGCCTCCTTGGATCTCTCCAAAACATCATAGACCTTGACTTGAGGGGTCTGTGCTAATTCCAGATATTCAGTGGCAGAACTGAACTGCAGTGTACCCAGCTACGGACTGAACAGAACACCCTCCATAGCTGATGTTTCTCCTCACACAGCAGAAACGTGGGCCTGGCCAGAAGTCTCCTATGCTCTCTGTACCCCACCCCTTCACACTCCCCTTGGGTCTTCTCAAGCCTGCCTTGAGTACCATGACTATATTCTACACTTCTTCCCACACATCCTGCAGGCATGTGAAGTCCAAAGCAATCTGCATCAGCCTAGGGATATTTGCCTCCTTCTCACCACCGTGAACCACCCCATCATCTCCTGCCCTCAGTCACCCAGGCTCAAAGTTGAAGAGTCCTCATCTGCCCACTCTTCTTCACGCCACATGTCCTGGAGGTTTCCAGTTCTGTCACTTCCTCCTCAACTCCATTGCACAGCAAGCACCCCTCCTGGACAGCCCTAATTTACATCATCTTTCAGCTAGCCTCTCCCCAGTTTCATCATCCACTCCCCTCCCAGCAGCCCTAGAGAATTACCAAGTAGTAGAAATAAACATATTCTTTCCACACAGATGTCCCTTACAATTAGATCCAAAGCTCTCATGTTATTGTTCTCCTACTAATCCCATTAGTAAAGCTGGATTGCTGCCATGTTGGTAATTCACTAACTGTAGGCATGTTTTACCTTTTCCTTAAATTTTCTTATACTCTCTATACCAGTGACATCCATCTCCAATCTCATGTATGCTATATTAAACTTCCTTTTTAAAATCATGATTGCTTTTTTGTGCTTTCTTTCCATCTTTTTAAAAATATTTTAGGTGGATATAATATATTTTTATTTATTTATACTTTTTGTGGTGCTGAGAATTGAATCCAGGGCCTCACACATCCTCACACACAGCAAGTGCTCTACCACTGAGCTATGACCCCAGCCCTTCTTTCTATCTTTATTGAGGTACTGCTGACAAATAAAAAGTATTTAAAGACTGACCTCAAGTTCCAGTGGTTTAACTTTGATTCTTTAACTTTAAAACAGTGCAAAAGTGATTTGCCTACTTCATACTTCAGTAGAAATAACACTTTAAATTTTAAATCTCAATCTTTCCTGGGATAATGAGGTGCAGCATAATCCTCTTTCATGAAGCTGGACAGTGGCAGAGAACCACAACTCAGTCAACCACCCCATCATAAGGGAAATAAACTGCTACAGTGTATTATATTGCAAAGTTATAATATTTAGTAGGCTAGTTGTATTAAATGCATTTCCTACTTGCAACATTTTCAATTTACAGTGGGCTTATAAGAATGTAACGTCATCACTGAGTCAAGGAGCATCTATGTTTAAAGTGCAAAATGTGATGTTTTAATATATGTAAACATTGTGAAATGATTATCATAGTCAAGCTATTACCATATCCACTGCCTCTTATACACTTCTGGTGGGAATGTAAATTAGTATAGCTATCATGAAAAACAATACAGAGTTGCTCCCTGAAATTAAAAATAGAACTACCATCTGACCCATCAATCTCACCAAAGGATTGATGAAGTTATATCCAAAAGAAATAAAATAATTTCTATACTACCATGTTCATTGTAGCATTCTCCACAATTGACAATATGTACAGACTACCCAAGTATCTACTGAGAGATGAATGGATACAAATAATGTGGAATATATGGGTAGAGAAAATGTGGTATATGTAAAAATAGATTTGTACATGTGTATACACATATATTTACATATACAAAGATGCATACACAGTTACCATTTTTCAGTGTTTTTTTTTTTAAATGAAGTGTGCCTTTTGTGACAATGTGGATAAAATAAGGACATGTGCTCAGTGAAACAAGGCAGAAACATAAAGACAAATACTGCATGACCCCAGTCATGTGTGGGTTTTTCAAAAGTCAAACTCATAAAAACAGAGAGTAAAAGGACATTTATCAGTGACCATGTGTGGAGGACACTGAGAGATGTTGGTCAAAGGGTACAATTTCATGGATAAGGCGAGTAAGTTCTGTAGATCTAACATACACCACAGTGACTACAGTCAATAACACTGTATTGATTACTTGACATCCAAGGACAGTAGATCTTCATTCTTCTCACCACAGCCCATAGACACAGGAAAGATGAATAAAATTGGCTGGAGTACAGAGACGGGGTTAGAAGTAAGGGAACGGTCATTCTCAAACACTGTCTAAGCCCTGACTTACTTGTGAGCAGAGAGAAAGAGCTGATATCCAACAGTATACAGTCAGCTTTCCTTATTCATGGCTTCCATATCTGCAGCTTCAACTAACCATGAATCAAAAATATTTGGGAAAGATGTATCTGAACTGAACATGTGTAGACTTTTTCCTCTTGTCATTATTCCCTAAATAGTATGGTTAAAAAAAAAAAAAACACTACTCATATAACATTTACATTGCATTAGCTATT